ATCATAAATCGAGGAAGTGTACGGTCACGCCTTCGCCTTCCCGCGGTCATCTGCTGAACCTGAAACAATAAATTGAAACTGTAAGCCCGAAATCTTAGTGCGTTACCCCCAAAATACCAACCTCATACAACCATAACATATCATATAACAAGCACAGAACAACCATGCATCTCGAGTCTACAGTGTAACTGGTCCGCCCGCACCAGGCCTTCAGTCCACCTGGTCCACTCTCTGAGTCTACAGTCTGACTGGACCGCCCGCACCGGTACGTCTGGTCCTCCCTCTAGGGGCCTTCAGCCTATCCGGACCGCTTGTCGGGCCTTCGGCCTGACTATGTTCCCTCCTGGGCCTATAGTCTATCCGGTCCACCCTGGGTATGTTGGCCTACAACACGAAGCAAGACCCGCCTCAACCCAACCCCCATACCAATCAAACAATCATGTGCACATAAATATCATACGCTAGCATATATAACATATAATCATACCGATCTAACAGATCACTAACACAGCAACCATCCTATAACCAGGATACCGACCTAAACCTGGTCACTAGCATAATACCATCCTAACTACCAGGATGCAAATCCAACAGATGAATAAACATATCAAGCAAATACCCGGATACAAATCCGATAAAGGGTCGGCCTTGGTGCCTTAGACCCTGTTGATATAGTGAGGATAACTTACCTTGCAAAGCCGATCTGAAATGAAGAATCAAACTCCCGAATCACCGACTCGCCAAAAATCCCGAGCTATCCAAAATAGCGGGCAATAAGTCAAAAATAGGAATATTAGTCTTGACCAAGAATCCCACAAATAATATTAGTCCAGTTTGCCTTTTCTCTCATTTGGGCCATGGCCCAATACCAATCCATGATCTACAAGTCCATATGTGTAAGGCCTAATATTGGCCTAAATTACCAAATTGGGCCCAACTTCCTAAATGGGCCCAACTCCAAGATCCACTATCAAGACTTGGCCCAAAAAACCATATCCATAAAGTGCAGCAAAGGCCCAAGCCCAACTAGCCATGGATAGCCCAACACCCGAAGCCCAAACCAAAAAATCCCACAGAAGGCGTACGTTGGGCGTACCCCAAGGCTACGCGGGGCGTACGCTGGGCGTACCCCAAGGCTACGCGGGGCGTACCCCAAGTCTCGAACTTTAACACTTTGGACGTACAGAAAGCTCTTAATCTAAGGTCTTAATCCATTAAGACCTTCCTACTACATGCATGGGACATCTTAAGCCATTGGGACCTCATTTTTAACACTCAAAACCCCTTCAAGAATCTGAAAGGATAGCTCATCTTGTCCAAAAAATGCACCATGCACCATATTGAAGTTTTGGGGACAAGAAATGGTTACATAATGCTAGAAAGGCTAGATCTATGACCTACACGCATAAAGTTTGAAGCTTTTTACCTTCTGGAGCTTCTATGGCACAACACAACTTCAGATCTACAAGCCAATGTCCTTCTTCAACTATTTGTTGCAATGGCTTCACCTTCAAGAGCTCAAAATACCATCACCTCACTCATACACACAAGATCTAGGGTTTGGGGGCGTTTCTGGAAGATAGAGGCTGATAAGGAGGAGAGAAAATGAGCCATAAGGATGTTTATATAGCCCCCAACTCGAGATATTAGGGTTTCCTTCTGATATGATTACGCCCAGCGTACATAAGTGTACGCCCAGCGTACTAGGGCGCGCCCTACTACGCTCAGCGTACCCTTACGTACGCGCAACGTACTCCTCCTAGCCCTAAAATTACAATTTAGCCCTTAGGCTCTTCATGGCTTTACCCTTCCATCCCCAGGGACTACAAATGACAAACTTGGGATGTTACACGGAGATGCCTTATTTATATTATTCTAAAAACCCTAGAAGCCCCAAAAAAATCAAATATGATGACGACGTCTAGCCTCTCACAAGATGCCACATGGCAATTCGAATGCTAGATAAAATCTAGCAAGTTGGCATCGTTAGTTACAAGCAAGTGCAAAGCGAGTCTATATCAGACCATTTCTCGAACCTCACGTTTCATGCCTACAGCTCGACTAGGCGTATGTGGGCTTGGCTCATTCTTTAATTTCCACTAAATTTTTTGAAAACTTAAGTAAAAGGACAATACTTATGAACCGAATTTTAGTTCTTCTGCCATATAGGTGAGACAAATGGAATTGCCGATACAACAGTTACAAATGTATTTTTGGATGATAACTTCAATTAATATGTTTCACTAAACTTCAATTTAAATACAACAGTTACAAATGTATTTTTGGATGATAACTTTCTTTTATATTTTCTTTATCGTATTCTTAAATAAAAAAACAAAAAGAAGCAAGTGTTGATTGTACAATGGGTTTTATATATAAAAAAACTCTTGGGCGTGTTCGGCAAATTTAGCTGGTAGCGGGTAGCTTGTAGCGGGTGGCGGGTAGCTTGTAGCTTGTAGCGTTTTGTTAAACGCTACATGAAGTAGCATTTGGATTTGAAGCGTTTTGTTTAAACTAAACGCTAGAAACTTGTAGTGCCAAACAAGACTTTCTGTTCAAAACGGAGCGTTTTGTCAAACGCTAGAAGCTAGAAGCTCTTAAACGCTCCCAAAAGCTCCGTGCCTAACACGCCCCTTAAGTCGTGATTTTTTTTTATTTTACCCTTTGATTTCCGAGAAACTTTATTTTTGGTATTTAGCTTGTTTTGGCCACATTTTCAGTGAAACGGCTATGATGTAGCAATTTTTGGTGACCGGGTGATGACATTCAGCAAAGAAGAAAGAAATTTGTGAGAGTGGGTCGAATTTGAGACCTCTAAGATATTAGTCAATGTTTCTTTCCGTAAACAAAACAACAGTTTTGTGAATTCCGCATTCTTATTGAATATAATAATACATAAAGAATATTAAAATTAAAATGTTTAAAATGTTAGGAGGAAAATTTTTTTTGAACAGCATCATAACTTTAAAAACTCAAAAAATGCTAGCTAGGAGCTAGCAAAAAGAATACAAAATTAAGGAATCAAAGGACTACGTATCCACGCAATCCAACTAACACTAGCATTAGAGTTCCGAAAAGAAAACCAAATGAAAAAAAAGATCGACACTAGTATCAAACAATAAATGTTTCTTAAACTTATTAGACCAAATCACTCACAACACCATCATGTAAACTGAATCCAAGATCGAATGCCCCGTGTAGTCAACATAGAATTGTCAATCCAAGTAAGGAAATCCCAAGACTCCAACAATGTAGGAATCAACACATCTAACCAAAGCTCCACTCTTCTCCAAATCTGAGGGGCCAAATCACATTGGAAGAAAAAAATTCATGGCCAGCCTGGTAGATACGGCAAAGAATGGAATCAAACTCCACACCTCTTTGCACCAGGATCGATCTAACTGGAATTCTGTGTAACAACAACCTCCACAAAAAAAATATTAACTTTAATAGGAACATGTTTATTCCATCCGGTAACAACCCCTCTATCCGGAAGAGTATAAGAATCAATATGTCTTCTAGTAGACTTAACCGAAAAGGTACCACTTGGATCAAAATCCCATGTCCACTTAACTGGATTAGAAGAAAAAGCAATAGGAATCAGGAGCTCGATAAGATTCGCCAACTGCCTGAGATTTCACTCCATCTCTAATATGCCGACGCTAAGAGAAATTCCAACCAGAAGAAGTCCTCTAGAAATCTCGAACAATGCCATTTTTCAATAAGGATAAAGCATATAACCTCTGGAATTGCGTTTTGAAAATCACACCCCCACATCACGCATCCTGCCAAAATCTAGCAATAGACCCATCGCGAACCACAATAGACATCGAATTAAGATTTAAACCAAAGACCTAAGAATATCTACAATAAAAGAGCTATTTTCACATAGCTTTTTGGTAACACGTCATCATAAATCAACAAACCTAGAAGGCTTTAACATGCCTCTACAAAAAGGAAGATTTTAATCATCACCTTGGTATTCATCAGTCAAAGCTTGGGCACACCATAGGGGAGGCATCAAGTTTAAACATTGGGGGCTCAATTAACGAACGACTAAGACAAGGGTACGCGACACAGTTCTGAGAAGGGTTGCTTTGTTATCTTCGTCAAAGGTGAGCCCTCTCCTCCAAACATCGCTATATCGGGAGCCATAAGTGGAAGGTGGGAACCTATTTTAAAAAACGTTACTTTTATTACAGTTATTACTTTTTTGAGGAAAATAATTTTTGATAAAATTTCATGTGTTTTGCTTTCATTTTTGGTTAATCTCATTATTATCACCAAATGTTCCAACAGGCATTCATGAGAAGAGACTGTAGGGTCATTGCCTACATCTATTTAACTCGAGGAGGTGCTGAAAGAGTCTTAGTTTGATCGTATTAACAACCTAATGGATGCTAATAATAATACCTCGTTTTATAGTTTAATGTTTGTTTCAATTGTGTTTTATTATTATCGAATTTACTATTACAAAAAACACAAAATATTATTTTATAAATGTAGTTATATTCACATTACAGTTTAAATATAAATCCAAAAAATCAAAAATTAAAAAGAATTATGGATGGTAATCATTTTCAATCGTAGGCTGTGTTCTAACAGCTGAAGCCAAAGGCATTCTACTTTGCCCAACATTTGTTGCGCCTAAAGCTTCATTCCTTTCTCCCTCTTTTTCCATTTTTTCAAGTTTTCTCATTCTAAAAGTTCTAACTATAATAAATATAACAAACCCAAAAAATAACAACCCCAATACCCCTATAGCAAATCCAAACACCCACCATTTCCACAATTGCCCTTTCTCCTTCTCTTTAGGGGCATGCGGCACCAGCGTTGGGTGTGGTACAACGATCGAGAAATGCCCTTGATCCTGCACGGCACACATGTCTTGTAGGGTCATGTTGGTCATTTCAACTGTTCCGTTTAAATAAAACACAACACATTTTGGTTTTTCGTTTTGTGGGAGCGAGAAATTGGGAAATTGGACCAAAATTGGTCCTCCGAAGAGGGTGAGATTTAGTTTCGTCATCGCAGTGGTCAAATTACCAAATTGCCCTGTGGAGTTTCTTGAACCGTAGGCATTGAAACCAACAACAGGGGCGACAAGAGAATAATTCGGCACACTGTAGTAGTAAGACGACATATTCCCAAGATTTGAAAAAACCATATCTAACCTTGTGAAATTTGGCAATGAGAATATCCTTGGTGGCATATAAAATCCACTATAATTTGCCCCTTTCCTCCAAAAACTATCCCTTCGTAGGCGAATGATTGAAACATTGACACCTGTAAAATTTGAAGGCAAAGATGCATTATATAAAACACCTGTTTGAGGTCGACTTGGTAGTGAATTCTCCGCATATTCAAGAAAAATATCATCTAAAGAACCAAGGGTAGAATTGTCCATGCCCTTGATTTCTCTCAACGAACACAAACAGCATAGCATCACAAAACTAATAATGAAGCTTCTCTCAAACCCCATCAACATCAATACCAAAAACACCCGTTTTCGTTACCTCTAGGCCGACTTCATCGATCTTATGAAACACAGTCTTTGCAAGTAAGTTTCCGAATTTACCCCGAGGTGGCAAATATATAAAAGGAAGATATCAAATGATTCGAAGGGTGGTTTGGGAATTGGACAAGGTTTCTCTTGAGATAGCCCAAATTGGTGAGTTTATGATTGTGTTATGAAGAAAGATGTTTTAAGAGAAATTGGGGTTATGGTACGGTTAGGGTGGGGGTGGATTGGGTTGGGTAGGGTAGGGGTACCACCTCAAAAGGAGACTTAGTTGAGTTGTTTTAGTTTTTGATTATATGTTGACAGTTGGATTAGCCATATATATGTGAGATTTTGGTGTAATTGGCGACGGTGCCAACGAGGTTATAATTGGAATTTGGACATACTCACCTGGATGGTTATGATTTTCATGAGTATTTTACTACTATTGGATTTTATATTATCTTTTATTTTTAATATAATTAATACAAAGTTATAGTTTATTCTGATTCGGTTTAGAACGAGTAGAAATTATACCGTCCAAATGGCTTTATGTGGGTATTAAAGTATCTTATTTTCTGTTTGGACTAATCCGTTTTTTAGTTTAATAAAAATTATGAATAACTTTTTTAACAACTATCTAAAAAGGAGATTCAATTTTAAAAAAATAAATAAATAATTACGAAATTTGCTTTATGAAGGGTCTCTATTAAAGTATCTTTATTTACTTTTATAAATCATATCATCACGCAAAATCATTATTTATTTCACAATTTTTTTTTTTTTTTTGCAAAAAATAAAAGAACAAAAAAAATCGAGAATACACGTTTTACACGAAAAGTAGTTCCACAAGGTCAATTTTGCAAAATAAGTTATTGTTATGCTACATTAGTACATTTTTTTTTAAAGATAATTATTTTGTTATTTTTTTTACTTATTTATTTATTTGCGTTATTTTTATTAGAGAAAATTTCATTCTAACCCTACAAACTAATCAATTTTGTTTTAAAATGTTCCTTATGTTTGTGAGTGGGTGGGTGTGGGCGTGGGCGTGGGTGTGTGTATGTGTGGAGGGTATGGGCATAAAATCCATTTTAACCTGCTTATTAAGGACCTTGACTTGTTTTAACCGGTTTCAATTGCAGATTCATATCTATGTAGCATTATGAAAGTCGTGTGTAACACATAGATGCTTATGATGAGAGCTAACAACTTATTCGATGCTTTAAGAATGGACGTTGACACGAAAGTGATGCAAACAACTTCAAAACTTCTCCCGCTTGTTGTCGTGGCTGGGATCGGTCCGGAAATTTCACAACAATCGTTGTTGTAGTTTGCAGCGCCCCCACCATGTTTAAGGGTAGGCATGTGATTAAAATCAAATATGATATATACCATGAGAATCTCGTGATTTCCATAAACAAGGTTGACATCATGCTCGTCAGAATGAACTCGATCATAATCACCAACAAAACTTTGAACGATGTCTAATTCGCTCATAAGCTAATTTTAGGTCTAAAAACATAATCATAGCACAATAGAGACTAGATCCTGAGACATCCATGTATATATACATTTGGTATATTCTGAAAGTCTGAAACTGAGAGATATTGTTCACGAACAATCATTTATGTATTGTAGGAGATATTATTCCATTCTGAAATTGAAGGAGATCTTGTTCATTTCATTTTATGGGTTTAGTGAAAAATGTGAAATATCTATCAGATATGTTGAACAATGGAGATGATTATTTAGATTCCTTAGCGAAGACACAAAACTCCATTTGATTTGTTGTAGATGCGAGAAATCATTTGCGGTTAATGAATGCTTTCAAAACTATTGTTGTATGTTAGAGAAAAGCGTTTGGAGTCTGAGACTGTCAGTATCATCAATGATGGATAAGAGAAATTGTTTGGTGTTAACAGTGGTCTAAAATAATCATCATCACTGAGTATTTTTGGATGATTGAAGACTTAGGGTTTAAATTGTTATCGTTAATCTGTATGAGAGAGAGAGAGAACAAAAAAAATAAGGGAGGAGAGAGAGAGAGAGAGAGAGAGAGAGATAAAGAGAGAGAGAGAGATGAGTTGGCAATGTTGTGGCATTGTCCATTAATGAGTTAGCAAAAAATTTATATTATGTGGTAGTCTCCTTTGATCTCCTTTACAGATTAGGCATTGGTTTACCAGATTACCCCTTTTAGTTTTCTGATAATGGCATTTTTAGCATACAAAAATGGATTTCATTCCTCTAATAAGCCGAAAAAGAACATGAGGGAGTTTTTAAAATAAAACTGAATAGTTCGTAGGGCTAGAATGGAATTTTCCCTTTTTGTTATTAGCCTTCTTCAAACAACTATTTAAGATAATATATACTAACAATAGCATTTTAAAGATGCACTAAAATGAACAATGCTAGATTGTGAGATCCCCAATTTCACGGCTAGAAAAGACCGATTTTTATGCTTTATTTGAAAATCAGAGTATCATTTTGAAGAAATATGTTGCGGAATTTGTTCCCAAAAATATGATAAGTAAATTATCAAACCATTTCCGAAGAAATGTGTTTTCATTATATTAAAAACGTTGAGATGTCATTGTCAATACAATACATAAGGATAAACAGAAATCGTACAGACCTTACAACATCTATTATTCTAATGGTCTATAATTAATTGATCTCTCATTGGATCATCACTCCTGTGCTCTATGGCCACTACATGTAATACAAGAAACTGAGTGGGTCAGGCTTGGGAGTCTGGTGTGCACATAGGGTTTTCAACCCACAATAATTAAGTTCATTAATTTCATTAAATCGTTCAACCCCATTACTCATTCCCATTATCCTCACTTTTTGTCCCTAAAACATCTAATTCAAGGGACGTAGCCTAAGGATCATCATCGGGAAGACAATACTGCTTAGGGGATTCCTCAGCAATATATGTCAGTAAGGCAACCATGAGGGGGATGGAGTATATCGGTGAACACATCGTTCACAAACACCAACAGGTTGCGAGCCTGTCAGCGTTTGTCATACCCCCAAACCAGACGGCGGAAACGTCCGAGGGCTCGCGTGACTCAAATTGAATATCATCACAATGATTATACATG